CATCCATAACCATAAATAGTTCTGGAACATAATGTATTGGCAAAAAACGCTCTTCAAAAATTACTTGAAGAACAGGTTCATCTGACTCAGTCAAAGACTTCTTTGCCTTTTAACCAAAAATTCCTTTACTTGTTCTATTAAGAGTTCAATATTACCCGCATTAAGGTTCTTATAAGCTCCGGATTTCTTTATTCCTTCTTCAATATAGAGCTCATCAATGGTGGAACTTGTAGAAACCTTATAAGCAGGGTCATTGGCGGGTGAGGTGGTCGAAATATTAGAGTTGGACCTGGAGATGCTGCAAAACCAGGGATCTATGAACAGTGCAACTACATGTTATTATCAAGGGGAAAATAAAAATAAAATCAAACTATCATACCTTTTCTTTTAGGTTATTGAAAGTTTTTTTATCGATAATTTGTTCAGCAATTTTAAGAACCAATGATTGTCAACTCGACGCCATTGATCTGCGACAAAGGGAGAAACGATAATTTCTTCATGAGTAGAAACCCATAGTAAGACAAACTTGCTCGTTGTTGAAAATAAGAATCGAGAACTAGAAAACCCAAATATTAAATAAGAATTTCTATTTTATAAGATGCTAATGAAAAGTCATACTCTTACAGTTCTTTTTGTTTTTTAGTCCCTTGATTTTCTGCTTTTTGTTTTTTGCCAAGGAAATCTTCTTGTTTTTGGTCTTTTAAATTTTGCAAGGGGATATAAATATGCGTCTTTTGGTCATTTGTTGTCGAAGGATCGGATATGTTAGTGTCGATCTGTAAATAGCTTCATTAGTCTCAAAAATCTTAAAATTTGAGCCATAGAAAAAAAACTGATAGGCCTTATATAAGCGGTCAACAAAACTATTTTGAGAAAATCGCATTGAAGTTTTGTGTAACAATAACAATGGGCAGCGTCATCAAAACGTAGCATAGTGAGATTGAATACTTTCCGAAAATTGTTACACAAAATGATAAAAAATTAGAGCATGTCTAATCGTAACATGTTGTTTATAATAAAAATATCAATAATAATCGTATTTGATTGATAACACACTATGTTACAATTAGACATGCCCTAATTTTTTATCATTTTGTGTAACAATTTTGGAAAGCAATCAATCTCACTATGCTACGTTTTGATTGACGCTGCCCCAATCTATACTGTATTATACTACGTATTGGTATTATCCAGTATAATACCAGTATTATACACATAAGTATAGAAAATACATCAAAAGTTGCTCTAACAAAAAGCTTTTCTTGAGCGATTACTATATAGCTATTTAACATCTATCTTTGCTCTAAACGCTAACTCTAACATTGATGAACTTAAATTTTTTTCTTGCACCATGTAGTAATTGAACCTGGGTGGATACCACTCGGGTCACCTGCGGGTGAATGGGTGACCCAGGTTGAATTTTGGCAACCCGGGTAGAAGCGGGTGGGGTCACCTTAAGAGGTCACTCGTAGGTTATCCACGAGTTAATCTATAATAAGTGTATGATCCGGCCAAACGTAAATATTATTATAGCTATTATCGTAAATTCTGGGACCCTAGAAAATTAGTTGAATGATTCTTGTTATTAATTTTGGTCGATCGATATATAAAATATATTGTACGCTGAATGAGCAATATAAGCACTGTAATGATTAGTATAGAATATATGCATAAATAGCTTTGAGATGTATTGCGAATTCAACGGCTTTAATTTTAAAATGAATATGCGCTAAATGGATTCAGTATTAACTTTAAGTTAATTCGAAATTTTTCGACAATTTGAGTGAATTAAAATTTCGTTTCATTTTAAGCGTATTTGGAATCAACTTGATAATATAGGTTAGCTGAGCCGTTAGTTAGCTGAGCTGAAAATTAGCTCGGCTAAGCCGATCGGCTCGCGGCTTTGTGGTGCTGTTTTGCATCACTACCAACCACGAATGTGATCCGGGTAGAGATGGGCACGCGCGGGATTTTTAATATAAAATTATCTGGCCGGCATTACCATATAATCTGACTGGCATTAATATAATATCTGGCCTGCTTTAACATATTCACCGTAAATTCTCGAAATATCGAATTTTGACCCGAATTAAGCTTAATTTGGGCCGAAATTCGAAACAATGCCCACCGGTAGTACAATAAATTTGATTTTTTTCTACTGGACACAAAAAATTAAGAACCTCGCAGATTTGTGATCCAATCCCGCTCGGGATTCGTATCATGCGCGTGATCCGCGCGTGACGCGCGGGATTTTTGAAAAAATTGCGATTTGCCCATCTCTAATGATGGGTATTATTTGATTAATGAGTGATGGTAAGTATGAGATCTCGACACAGTGAAGAGATTGAGTTGTTGTAGATAGAATGATGTGTTGGAAGTGGTCTCGGTAGCCCGGGTGTACAGCCCGGATATCGAAAGGAGAGTTTGATAGCCCGATTGAATAAATCGGATATCAAAGAGAGTGTAAAAAAAAAGAAAAAGGGTGTAAGAAAGAAAAAGCGATGCTAGGAAATTAGCTGTTGACTACGTGAGCAGTGAAGCGAGATCCCATATAGTGTATTTCGTAATAGTGCTTACACGATCGAGTGACAAATTAAAACTTTCACATATTTTTAGCTAGAAATGTGCACGCAATTCACAAGCTTTCTAGCCACATAGTGCATCAAAATTATTAATAAAACCTTAACTACATGCACATAGAGCACATTGTGTATATAATCTATAAAACCAAATAGTAATTTACAAGTTCGTTATTTTTACGATAATTCACAGAATGCACACTTTGTAAATGTTTTTTTACCAACAAATTATAGTGCACATCAGTGATGTAAATTGGATACGCGCAGTAGGCGCCGCAACAAAATTGGACCGGCAGATTATCGATTTTGATTTGCTAAGGGCGACGAACAAAAAATTAGGCCGGAATTACTCATAATTTTACTAATGAAAACATAGCCGCCCATTACAGCTGTTTTCATAAATTCTGGGACAACTGATAAAAATTGATCAGCCGAATTCGATGTTTTTGAATTCGCCGAAATCAAATTCCGATAACACCGAATTCAAAAACTTATTATCAGTTGTCCAGAATTTATGAAAACAGCTGTAAGTGAAAATTGTTCCTGGGCCAATTTTACCATAATGCGGGCTTATTTTTTAAGAATTTCTATCTTTGTAATGAAAAAATTAAAAAAGTCAATTCCGGCCGGAAATTAGTAAACAATTTGTAATGTGAGCCAAAATTTTGAAGATCCTCGGCCGTTAGCCAATCAAAATTGAGGATCTGCCGTTCCAATTTTGTTGCGACAGCTATGGTTAATCATAAACATAAATTTGTGCATATTTTGTTGGCGCTCTGCGCGTATTATAATTTTACTTTAAATATATAAAAAACTTTTTGCGCTTGATTTTAAAGTTTGTATGCATATCATTTATATAATACGCGCTTTCGCCAATAAATTTTTTTTGAATTTATAACACTGGTGCACATACTGTATTTTAAATTCGTGCGCATATATTTTATATTATTATGCAGCCATGTTATTGATGACTGCATTAAAAATTCTCATATTTATGCAGTTTACGTCATTTTGACATATATTTATTATGAATATTCATATAAGCTAGAATTACTAATATATTTTTTTTAAAAAAAATGTGTTAAATTTTTACTGCTATCCAATATTACATTGTTCTTTGAAATATCTTTGGCAGCTTTTTTTTATTCTTAGTAGTATTTAAAGCATGTCCATATTAGAATTTGAGAATATATCACTAAATAGATTAGAATTTGCAATTTATTAATAGAAACTATCTATAATAATGATTATGTATATAAAATGTAATGTTTGAATTCATAAATAAATTTCCTTGAAGAAATTCTTTTTAAGTCACCTGAATTTCTTTTTGGGTTACTTGAATTTATTGAACTTCTTTTTGGGTCGCTTGAATTTCTTGAAATTCTTTTTAAGTTACTTGAATTTCTTGAAATTCTTTTTGAATTCTTTGAACTTCTTGAATTTCTTTTTGAGTCTCTTGAAATTTTTGAATTTCTAAGTCTTCATTTGAAACTAATTTCAATTGCTGCAAAGGTATTCTTAATAACATATATTTGCTTGTTGTAAAGTGAATTGTAATTTTGCTACATAATTTGCTTTAATTAAAAAAAAAGAAAAAAAATTTAATAAATCATAATAAAAAAAAATAGTAAGATACTTTATTTTGATAAATTTGTTTTGCAGATCTAAATTAATTATACAAATCAGTAGTAGAAAGCATATTAGATTGAGAAATTTGAACATATATTGATAGTTTAGAAGTTTCTAAAATTGTCATTAAACTATTTAATGTTGCTTTCTAAATACCATCTTTTGGCTATTTATAATAAGCAAAAATCAATATCTTGTTATATATAATTAGAAGTGTCTCAGTCTTTTAATTATTGTACAAGAGTTTTATAATCTGCTTGGTTAGTAATCTTGTGATGTTCACAATTAATTCCAGTTTTTTTAGCTAATATTTGTATAAATACATTTATATTATGTTCTTCAAGTCAGTTCTTTTGATACCAAATATTAATGGTTAAATAATCTAATATATATATAAGTGTTGCCAAAAGAAAACCCAACAATTTAAATATAGTCTATATTTAAATTGACAGGTTTTTTTTAATAACACCTATATGTATAATATAATATATTTTATAAATAATAAAATAATAAATTAATAAAATTTTAAAATATATACTAGATACAGATTTTGTACTAATTAGTTGTAATAAAATCTAGTATTAACATTAACAGGTCTTTTTAAAAAGTACTTTTTATAATCCTCAATAATCATAGAATTATCAGTAGAGATAGAAATTTTATTGCAGCATTAAGATTATCTAATATATGTTAGTTAGTTTTAGACTTAAAAATATATATATTAAAGCCTTCATTATTTTTTTTTGAAAGCTTTTTAACAGTAATATGCAATGCTTGCCACCTTTTAAAGCTAAAAAAATTGTATCATATAAAAAGACCTGGTACAACAATTCTTTTAGAGTATTTCTAGATATTGCTTCATGTTGTAGCATAGATTGAATTTCTTCAAATAATAATAAATCCGATTCATGTATTTTGCCTTATTTTTTTTTAGCTAAATTTTTGTTTTTTCTTCTAATATCTTCTATAAATCAAAAATACTTGATGATTACACAAATTAACAGGTTTTAACTTGCTAATACTTGAATTATAAGATCTGTTAATTGCTTGAATAGCAGCTAAGAGTGAATTAACAAAATATAGTGATTTATTTTTTTTTTTGGCAATAGCAAAAAAATTATATAACTGAACTTCAAGTTCTTAAACATTATCAATATCTTCTGGTATATTATTAGAATTAACATCAGAATGATATTGTTGAAATTTATCTATTCAGCTTTTTATTGACTTATGAGTTAGATTTGTTATATAAGTA